CCTCCCAGAATGCCTGTCTCAGAGACAGGTGTTGTACACGCTGCAGAGCTGTTTATACTCCAGAAGCTCTGGGCATGTTTATTTTGCACACATAGCTCCATGTTAGCATTTTCCACCCCCTTAAGCAACTGCAGGTTGTGTGTGTTGCCATGACTAGGCTCAGGCTGCAATGGTTCCCTCTCTACTACGACCCTGAGGGGATCAGGGGATCCTGTCGTCACTGCCACCTGTTACCGGTGGTAACTTTACGTAAGGCAAATCTCCAGTGCTTCTTTGTGTGCCTGAAATAATGTTTTCTTATCTCCTACAGGTGTTACTCAGATAAAGCCCAAGCAGAAGTTATGTAGCAGATTTGACCACGTGGAGGCTTCACAAATGCTTGAGGTCTGAAGTGAGTTGCATCTGATGCAAAGGAAGGTAAGCTCTGACAAGGAGCAGAGGTGGAGAACAACAACCATATTTTTTACAGGTATGTATCTTAAGGTTATAATGGTAGAAATATCTATTACTGCTCCAGGTAAAGATCATATGTCTGAATCAGCCATGGGAAATACAATGAGAATTGCTCTTTCCTCCGGGTTAACACTAGCCTAATGGATGGTTGTTTGGGTTTGATCTGTTTTTCCCATGTTTCTGTATTCAGTGTGTGTCCCAAGTCTGGAGCTGGGCTGCATTTTTCATCTGCTGAAAGGGGTGCATATCTATGTCCACAGCAAGTCAGTTCAAGAAAATGTCACTGTTTGGTTTAGGAAGAAACTTTATTTCTTCTCAGAAATTTTCATACAGACCTGCAGGCCTTTTGCCAAGCCCGATTTCCAGATGGCTTAAAATCTGTGTCCTGTGCACAAAAAACGTATTTAATTTCTATGAATAAGTCTGAGAGAAGAGGTCAAATAAAGAAGTGTTGTCAGTATGAGCAAACTGCCTGGTCAGGGAGAGCTCAGAGACAGGAGCAAACACCATCGGGGAAATGAAGCAGTGAGCAGTCCTACGGGGATGCACATACACACACTTGCACCCACACCCACACTTCCTGCAAGACCTCTCAGCAGCCTGGTAAATTTCTTTTACACATCTTCTGCAGCTGAGAACATGGCCAGGCAGAGCTTGGAGATGCCTTGAACTACATATTGCATTGCAGGGAACAAGGGTCAGGTGTGATGAAATTTTTGTGTGATACAAGCATCAGTTGGGCTTTAAGTGTTCTCATGAGCACATCACTCCCGTGAACACATCACACCCATGAGCACATAAATAAATATGCAAGTAACCCAGCATTATTTTTGTTCCAGAGGACACATCAGAGTGATGGAGAAGTGAGGAGATGGACTGGACACAGAGAATGGTTGTCCCAATGCCTGCTGCAGCACACTGGCCTCTTGGCCATGCCAACATTTTCAATATGCCAACAAGTTTCCCATATATAGTATATCTCCCAGACTGCAGGACTGAGCACTTCCTGAGGGCTCATTGCCTTCCCTTGAAGCAATAAAGGGCATTCATGAAGTTTCTGTGCTGAACTGTGGGAAAAGAGCAGCAAGAAGCTGTGACCCCATGCAAGCAAGGCCATGCTTTGGAAACACCGTCACTGAAAAATCAACACATCAGCCCAGAAGGCCCACAGGCAGCCTATCTCCTCCTGCCTTATCGGAAAGATAGCTCCTCTGGATACTGGGGCAGCAGCCACTGGACATTGTTGAGATGTTTATTCTATCCAGTGTTGATACTGAAGTAAATACAATAACTAAAAATAAAGATAAAAAAAAAATACACTGCAGCTATTTGTTCCCGAGTTGTTATGTTTACCCATACCAGCTTGGCTTTATATTTAGGCAGGCCTGTAGTCCCAGATGTTCAGTCATTTTCAGCAACATGGTCATATCCCAGTAGATTTAGCCTGACGGAGCAACGATATTAAACATGCCTGTAATTTTCCACTGGAACTGGAAGATTGCATTCCTCTGGGGCGAGCGACGGTTGACTGGACAGGCCCCATGCACATACAGGTGGCACAGACCCAAGTCCTTGGTCCTCTCTGCACTCTCACCATGGCATGGGATGGAGGAGGCCTCATCAATAGCACCTCCTGCGAGATGGGGATATGCTGCTGGGGCTCTGTGGCCACCTGTTGCTGCAGGGGCAGATGTGGCTGGGGCTGCAGGTGGATTCTCCACTGTCCCTCCTTGCACTCAGAGCCTGTAGGCGCGGTTAGTGTCCGTTGAGGTGGTCCAAAAAGAAAAATGGTCTTTAACAGAATAAAAGCAGATGTTTCACTTAAACGCCTGTGTTTTTTGTTAGACTCTGGTCACCTCCAGCTGCTTGATGAATGGGCTCAACAGAGGTACCCATCACGCAGGCCCTGCACAGCTGGGGAGCACTCACCCTGTTTGCAGATGTTTACTCTCTGAGGGAAGATGTGGGACATCTCTGAGTACAGTCTCCTCCAAGCACCTGGCTTCAGGTTAGTAAAAACTAATAGACAGGTATGGGTGGGCTTATCCTGCTTCTTCTCACTGATAGCAATGGTGGCAGAGGACAGTTGGGTCTCCAACCCGATACTGGAGACTTCGCTCCCACAGTGTAGGAGTATGCATTTGGTCCTGACAATACTTATGGCACAGGATCTGCCTCGGAGAGTGAAAGGAGGGACTGAAAGCTAGTTGGGACCAGGTGTTCCCTTCTCTGTGCCAAAGCATCTGCTTTGAGCTCATGTGCCAGAGAGCGGAATGCTCCTGTCCACCAGAACGAGTGAAAGACGTGTCCTGTGAGTGCCTTGGGGGAATACAGGTTCAGAGCACATGTTGCTACACTGGAGGGGCTGTACTGCTGCATATAGTTAGGGTCTGTGTTGTGGTGTCAGCTAGTTCTAACACATCTGCTTTACCTCTGCCAACCCAAGCACGTCACCAAGAGTCGTTCCTGCAATTCTGACAGACAATCAGGAGCACAGGGGCTCAGGCAGCCCTGACCCCTGGCCACTGCTTACATCTAACCTCCAGCACTGAAAAAAAACAGCAATTGTTGAAGACTCCACTATGCTTCCTTCAGCATCAGGGAGGTACTAGCTCTTAGGTACAGGTGAGGCATAAGGACAGCATGAGGATGCTCTAGGAAGAACTGTGGCAACTCCTGTCTTTGGTCCCTTAAAACCCGGAGCCCACCTCTGCTCCCCTTTTGACAGAAACAGCACAATCCAGAGGACAGTCTGGCCTCTGGGAAGCTGCCAGCTTTGCCTGCATCAGCAATTCTTGCCTGTAAGGCCAGAGGGGCAATTCTGGAAAAGAAGATCCTTCTGTATGTGCTGCTGCCACTGGGTTGATTTTCCCGCCACTGATTTTTGTCCTGCAAAAGGACTGGTCAAGGCATTGCTACTCCTGGAGTCAGCAAGCAATACATCTGCTTTTCAAGTGGGCAGACACAGACATCCTCTTCTTATACACATAACAGATGGGATTTAACAGATAAACCAGACAGGCTGCTTCCATTAACTCACTGAGTTGCAAAGATTTCCTGTCTAAACAAGATTTTCTTGCTGAGAGGGACTTGGCTGACCATCACTGTGAGGTGATCTCATATGGATAGAGGGATATGAAAGGTCTGGAAGGTAAGTTCTATGAAGAGCAACTGAGGGAGCTGAGGTTGTTTAACCTGGAGAAAAGGATCCTCAGGGGAGACCTTATCGCTCTCTACAACTACCCAAAAGGAGGCTGTAGAGAGGTGGGACTCAGACTCTCCCAAGCAACTAGCGACAGGACAAGAGGAAATGGTCTCAAGTTGTGCCATGGGAGGTTCAGGTTGGCTATCAGAGGAATTTATTCACATAAAGCATTGTTAAATATAGGAATGGAATGCCCAAGAAGGTGATAGAGTCACCATTCCTGGAGGTGTTCAACAAATGATTGAATGTGGCACTTACTGCCATGGTCTAGTTGGTAAGGTGGTGATTGGTCAAAGCTTGGACTCAATGACCTCAGAGGTCTTTCCAACCTAATTGATTCTATGATACGCAGCTTCTCTGCTCTTGGTAATGGGACACCTCCCCTTCCAGCCAAAATTCCCTTCCAGAAATCTCTCATGGGCAGATTTGCCTATGGAAGCTAACCCCTTTCCTCCCTAAAACCATCAGTGCTCAGCTCCAAGTCTAGGACAGGAGTCAGACAGGGTGCCATGAGCAGCATCTGCTCCTGGAGCCATCCTGGTTTCCTACAGTGCTCAAGCTGGCTGGACCTATGGGCTCACACCCTCCAGCTTTCACAAAGTCACATTAATCAACTAGACATTGCAAATGCATTTTTAATGGCAATAAAATGAAGCTAAAAATATGTCAAGCAGGTAAACCCCCAGTTTTAAATCAAGAGAGATATTGGATGCTCTTAGTCTCCAAGGGTCGCCATAGGAGGAGCCTTTCCTTGCCCTCTCTTCCGCCAGGGAGATGGGTGCTGCCACAGTGGGGTGCCCTGGCAGTCACTGATTAACCACCCACCTGGGGGGGTGCTGCCCATACTGCAGATTACGTCTTGACCCCCTGGCCACTAATTTCTGATGCTTGACTTCACTTTGAAATGTTTTTATAGACCTTTTGCCATAGCACTTGTTTCCCACAGCCTTTTGTTTTCCCTTTATAGTTTCAAATGCTTCAAATACAGGGAGCAAGTTTTATTTCTGCCATCCCCGACTTGCTTTTTATAAGTATCTGCTCTGCAGCTCAGCCATCAAGCCTGTGTGAGGCAAGGATCTGGCCAGTTTTGAAAATATTTAGGTACAGTGCTCCTTCTTATGAGAAGAGCTTATAAACCTCCCAAAATAAGAGGTGAAATAGGATTTTTGCGAGCCATTCATGCTACTTGGCTTTTTACCCCATGCTGATTATTACCCATCTCCAGAGAGGAAAATATCCCCCATGGCAGCTTCTCCTTATCCAGTGCTATCTCTGTTGTGCTCTTCAGTGCAAGCATGAAGACCCTGCTGCCAGTGGCATAAGCAGTAACAGGAGAAGATACTTAAATCATTTTACATTTATTACATACATGAGATATAAAAACAAATTACCAAAATAGTATAATTTTTTTTGTGAGTCCACAGGACCTTGAAAGAAAAATACATACGTAAAGTGGATTGGCACACTTGTGACTTTTCTGTTGTTCTAGGTCTCTTCCTTTTCTTTCCCCTCACATTCATGAACAAAATACATTTTGCAATGTGGTTTAAAGATGCTTTACACAAAGGATATATTTTAGTGCTGAAAACTGCAGTAATCTGTGCTATATTTCATACTGATGTTAATGAGGAAGTATAATGGCCATATATATTGCAAACAATATCACAGAAGAAAACAAATAAAATGTTCAGTTTTAAATACTAACATAAAAATAAAATAAACTCCAGGCCCACCATGAATCGCTGAGTTGTGATATGTGAATGCAAGTCCTTTCTGTTCTCCGCATCCACTCCTTTTCCTGCAACCAGAGTTTTACTCCTCTGGCTATTGCATTTTTATCTTAAAGTCTCTTCTTCTCACACTGTTTACAAAGTCTTGGTGGAGTCCTGCCCATGGAGTCCAAGTGCTGGTCTGAAGCTGGGACTTCAGTGCAAATACCTTATCTTTCATCTTGCATCCTCAGATATTCTGAGTGGCCATTGCCAGGCTGGCCGTTCCCTTTATACCGCTATCCAACTGAGGGGGGATTCTTCAGGAGTGCTTCTGTTTCAGGGGCTTTTTCACATGCTACCTTCAGACTCTTCTTTCCCCAACACAATTAGACTTCCCGCACTGTGGAGTGGCAGGTAGTAAAGTGCTTTATACAACGAAATATTTACACTAGGGCTAGGTTCATTTTTTAACACTTCAAGGACAAAAGCTCCGAGATGCTGCACCCTCTGGAGCTGGCTCTTCTCTGTAGCCAGGCAGTGGGCAGAGAGCTGGCCTCTGCCCTGTGTCACACTTGTGCCAAAGCAGAAGGATTCAATCCACTGCAGCAGCTCTGTCCTCAACAGCATCAGCAGAAAATCTAGCCCCTGAAACCTTCAGCAGGGCAAAGAGGTTAAAAGCAAGTGGCATCCAATTCTCTTTGATGGGTGCCATGTCCTAACCTGTAAGGGGGTGTTTCTGAAGCGCGGTCATCATTGCCACGCTGCTGCCAGTGCCTGTCCACCGCTGTGGCCATCGCCTTCCCCACAGCATTCTCTGTGAGCCTCTGGAAGTCACTCAAGATCCGCACTAGTGGGCACTGGCAGTGGTGTTTTGCTTCTTATCTGTAGCTCTTCCAGGGTGGCAATTTAGTCTTGGGTGATCAGTGGCTTCACAGGAGTTACTCCAACATTGCACTGGAGCAAGACAAGCATCTGCCCTTCCATTTCTCTCAACAACATGATGAGGTGGGCTCAGCTAAGCCCCTAACAAGGAAGCTACAGGCAAGTGAATGAACATTGGCTAGAAGGGGTTAAATTAGACAGCGCCTACAACTCTGAATGCCTCACTACACATTTTGGCACTATTTTCTTACATTCCAGTTTTCATCCTAGAGGTCTTCTCTCTGTGAAGGGTGTTGCATTTTGTGCATAAAGAAACTCCCTAGACTGTTGCACACGTCTAGTTGCAGTCTCTTTTCAAAATCTCCAAGACCTTTCTTCCGAGAGCCGACTTCCACTGATGGACAAAACTTTTCATGTTGACGATGAGTCTGCCCGTTCGGACGTCCTCGTGTCCTGCCACGAGATACTCCAAGCCTGCAAAGCAGCAAATCTGTCAAGGACTGCACAGTACTATGCTTAAGAGGCCTATTGAACTGCAAAGTCAGCCTGGATATCTAGTCTCATGTAAAAAAGCACTTATACAAAGAAATGTATATACATATTGTTTCTCATGTATATCTGTATATCTACTGCTCTATCAGTAACTATGGAAAAATGACCCCTGTGGTTATCCGTCAGTGAGAGGCACTATCCAAAGTGTGACTTTGTTAGCTTCTAATGGAAACTGAACTCTGGGGCTGCACTACAAATTATTATACCTTTTTTGGGAACGGCTATTACCTTCATTTGGCAGCCTCACATCTCCCTGAATACACCTGGGCCTGGAAATTGGCAAGTTCAGTAAATTCCAGCAATGGAGGAGTGCAGAATGGCCCAGTGCCTGATGCCTTGCTCAAGGTAGCCAGTGGTCCCTTGGAGGCAAAGGCACACCAGATCCCAATGAGAGGCAACACTAGATTTGCTGGCACAAGCATCCTTGAAGAGCCTGAAGGGGTGGCAGTCACACTGAAAAGAGCTGCTAATTTCTGCTTCTGCCAGATGTTTTAGAGATATGACAGAAGGGTCTGACGAAGCCTTATGTGGTGCCCAGAAGCAGCCAGAAAGGGCTGGAGTGCATCCCAACAGCGCCTTGCTGCTTACCCTGTGCATCCAGGTCTGCACTTGACTTTGAGGGCATGACTCAAAGAGCACTTGGAATCAGGTAATAACTGCTAAGCAGAGGGACAGAGCAAAGACTTTGACTTAAATTAGCTAAATAAACACTGCTACGTATCCAAACAGCCTAACAAGACACAAATGGGGAATAAATGGGGATAACAAGGAGGACAATCCTTTCCATGGTAGGAGAAGCTCCCTGCCAGGGTCAGCATTCTGCCGCAGCACACTTAGGGTGCAGCCAGCATTAGCTTCCTTCTGTTCTCACTCCTTCTTACCCGAGTCCAGGGAGCACAACATGGCAGTATGAACCAGCCTGGGGAGATGGATCTCCCCATGTGCTCTTAGTTCATCCTGCTCCATCCTGGCAGGGAGTCTGCTGGTGTTTTTTTCGAGTTTTCTTTTTGCGGTTCAGAATGAAGGGTGAGTGCCTCCTAGTTAAAAGCCAAGGATGTTTTCCTTTAATTCAATACAATTTGTTATCTACTTCATCTGAGTTTTGGGGCACACACATCCTCTCTTCTGCCAAGTAAACACAGGATATGTGTATGGCAGCATCACCCTTTGCAAGACATTAGTTTGGCCATCTTGCTGTTATAAAACATCACTTTTCAAGGGCTCCTACATTTACCTCCCTTGAGAGAGAGAAATGTGGTATTCACACTCAGAGAGCAAGCAAATATTGCCACGGTTGCTGATCGTTGTAGAGCTTTCTAGATTTGCAACCTGGTGCTACAGAAGAGTAAAATTGAGCCAAGTGGCAGGCAGCTCTCTGCCTATCTGTGTCTGCTCTTGGCAGAGCCAGGGAGGGGAACGTCTCCTTTTCCCTTGTGACAGCTGAGACCTTTAAACCTTTCAGCTCCGTGTCCCCACAGAAGTCCAACCTGCTTCTGTGGGTGTGTGCAGAGGGGAAGGTGTGCAAGGGTGGTAAAGGGACTCACCTTGAAGGAACTTAAGCATGTTTATCATCTGAAAACAGCCCACAGAGATATAAACCCACGTCTGTCTTACTTTTATGTTTATCTTTGGTCTCCTATATGTTTCTGGGAGATGTGATTTCCATTATAGTTATATGTCAGAGAATTGTTTTATATCAGCTTGACTTTTCATCCAGCTATTGTTGGTTTATTCATCCGGAGGTCATAAGCTCTTTCTCTGATAGAGGGTTAAATCTGCTAATGTTGTATTGCCAACAACTCAGAAATTATTGTGGTAGCTAAAGAAAATAATGAGTTTTTTAAAAATACCTGGGATCTTCCCCCCCATCTTTGAAATTATTGAATCTTAAAAATGCACTCACTGTATGTTTTCAAGTTTCCTATTACCACTGAATGTCATGGCTTCTTTTCAACATGAAGGCTGAGATTAATTTATACTCACGGGACCAGCAGCTGCATTTCCATACAATACCAAGCTTTGCAGTGTAAATTATGAGAGCTGTCAAGGGAGTAACAAGGGAGTAACAAGGGAGTAACACCTGATGTGTCACACACCTGAATTATCCCTAAAGAAAGTTGCATATCCACCCTTCTGCTGCTGTCTAAGAGATCTTAATTGATTCTGTGATTGCTGCCATCTTTTCATCTGTCGGGGAAAATCAGTGAAGCTCCTCTAAAGCTAGTGGAGTGACAAAGCTGAGTGTAAGGTGTGGGGCTGCCCTGCAGGCTCGGTTTCAGACAGCTTCCACAGCATTTCTCCAGGTTCATATTAATGCAGCTGCATCTGGGCTGTCTTGCTTACGTTTCCATTGCATGTAGAAAAATAAAATAGCTATAGCTATTTGATTATGGATTTATGGTGTTCTAGGAACATTCAAAGTCTTACTGCACTTAAATAGCAGAACCCTGCCTAGTGCTGCTGACTCATTCAACCTTTGCACCTGACGAGACTTCCTAGTTACAGCTGTGCTATCACGGCAGCATGCCTCCAAAGCTAGACAGTCACTCCAGTGGAGATGAAAGAAGACTGCAAACACCTCATCAGTGAGTAACTCTTCTGCATGATCCAGCTTCACAGACAGCCCTTTCACCCAAAGAGAAGTTCCTAGTGCTGCACATGTAAGGGATGTCTCAGTACCAAAGTCAGTGCTGTGATTGCTGACTTCCAAGTGGTGCGTGCACCTCATGGAAAGAGAATCCTTTGTCTGAATTAGTTGGTAACTGTTGATTTATCTTGGAGTTGTAAAGAAAGGTGCGTCAGCTGTAGCTTAGTTTTGTTCTATGGAAGAAAAACATGAATCTGCATGTCCTTGTCCATACTGGAGACTGTACACACTATTTAGCCCCCAGTGGGTATATTCACTTCAGTGAAAGAAGATGAGAAGAAGTTGAGGAGCTCTCATCTCACTGCATAAAAAAATATCTTCCAAATTTTGTAGATGTAAATCAGTTTACTTTCAAAGAGACATCTTCCCTTGACTTTAGATTAGAACTGCAGTACAATATCATCACTCAAATTAGATTTAAATGTGTTTTTATGGATTCAAATTAGCTTTAGCTCTGGAAGATATGTCATACAATTGAGGTATGATGTGCACCTCCCCTCATCTGGGAACAGACTGAGACTGGTAAAACTGAAAGACTGTTACTATGCTACAAGTTTTTCTTTTTGAATTCCAGTTGATGAAGACTGCTGTTGGAATCTAAGTGATGGAACAGCATTTCTAAGCAGCACTGGCCTGCAATCTCAGCTCACTGGCATGAGGGGATAGAGGCGTGGGAATGAAATCTGTGTAAATGTGGTGTGGATGTACTGCTCAGGGAGTAAAACCTACCGGGATTGAGGATGGGACAAGTGCAGCCTCTGTTAGTCCAGGATTCAGGGTAGAGTGTCCTCTTGCCCCGGAGAATCTTCAACTTTGTAGATTTCAAGACTTTCTTAATCTTCACATTGACTTCTGCATGGGAGCCTTTGTCATGAGCTGACAAGATCTTCGCCTTGATCACTGGAAAATCAGGAATTCCAAACAGGCATATACAAACTGTTTACAGTGCTCCCTCTTTTTTTTTTTTTTTTTCTTTTTTCCTGGTCTAATGCAGGTGTCTGGGTGAAGCAGTGAGGATAATTGCTTCATTACAGTGGAGTTACCCAATGTTCCTTGCTGGGGAGCCTGGGATCAGTTAAGTTTCCAGCACAACACATACATCCTCCTGCCCAAGGCCAGAAATGCTGACCATTGGTTTGGCCGTGGCTCCTGGACCTGCCACATGGGCCACAGAGGAGGTACAATGACCTGATTTTCAAAGCTTGTGAGGGTCCAATTTCCTCCCTGAGCTCAGAAAAAACTTTGGGTTCCTTAGCACTTTTGGAAATCAACTGGATTTAGGGATGGGGACTTTGTTGGCCTTGGCCTGGGCAGCCAAGGCAGCAGGCAGGAGTGTGAGGAGCTGTGCTCATCCCACCCTGGTGCTAGTCTTCCCACTTTGCAGAACTGACAAATCCAAATACAGTGGAGGAGAATGAGATGTTGGTGGAGACTGGAGCAAATCATGGAGTACCCTGAGCTCACAGATACCCACAGGCACACTCCCACTGGCATTCCACTGCTGAGTCCATGTGGTGGAGGTGCTCAGTTCCTCCACCTGACCATGCTGATGCTGACACTGGAAGATATCCCCATACGGTGGTGCTTTATTCAGCACCATACCTAAGGAAGCTCAGGGCAGCCTCTCACAGAATGGCCTCCTGGAGCTCATGATTCGCTCTGTATATCATCTGTCTCTCCAGACACCTTTGCATGTTGAGTGATGAAAGGGAAGGAATCCTGAGTGCACTTTAGGTACAATTTTTGAACTTGGAGGTTTTGTGCCTTTTTTTTTTTTTTTTTAATTTTGTATCTTTTGCAAGACCAAACACAGTCATCATTATGTCCAGGAAGCAAAGTAAAGCAGAATCAGGTTTTCTCCTAATATCACTAAGCCAGGGCAATATTTCAACAACTGGCAGCCCCTTGAACTCCCCTTTGTTGGTTGCTCTGCAGCCTGCAGAGGTATGGGTTATCTCTCTATTCCTTTTCAACTCCAGTATGAGATAAAACAGGTGCAAGAGATCCCTACAATACTGAAGGAAGGGAGGGTTGCACAGAGCATTCCTTGCTCTGCTATGGTATGAAGGAGGCAGTTTACTGGCACACACCAGAGAGGTCTTGGGAAACAAAGTTCCTCCTCTCATTCATTTAAATCCCAGAGACACACAGGGAATATAGATTACCCCGTTGCAACAGCTGAACTTTTTTGACAGAGGGAAGTTCCCAGTGGCTGCGTGAATTGTTTTCTCCAAGTAGTGCCTTGTGTGGTGATAACCATCCCTCCTTACATTTGGTATCATTCAGGTATGGTGATTTCTAGACTACGATGGGGGCACCTGGTCTACAGACAGTGTTTCAGTGACCTGTTTTTGGTAACAGTGCTTTATAGTCTGTCTTGGACCTAGACAACCTCCCAGGGACAATTCTAGCTCTTATGCTCACATGATTTTGGTACAAGGGTATTTTGGTAGCAAGAGAAACAGAGCAAGATGTTTCACCCATCTTGACTTGGCACCATGATGTCTATACATTTTGGAAAGGCCAAAGATCTGCCCTCAGACTAAGAAGCCCTTGGGTTTGCCAGGATGTAGCAGTTCATGCAGTGGCACCTCCCACGCTTTGCATGCACTCTTGCACTGCCTTGCAGCACCTCCCTTTAGAGCCCCTTCACCCGCAACTCACCATAGGTGTACTTCATCCCACAGAAGACCTTGGGATTCCCTAAAACTTGCTCTTTACATTCGCATTTACCTGAGGAAAGAGAAGGAAGCAAATGGCTGTGGATTGTACTTCAAAGACAGGAGCATTCGCAAGCAGGGCCCAGGACCTGCCAGAGGTTTTTCAAGTGGCCCACAAGCCCCATGCAAAAAAAAGCAGTTTGCAACTATTTTCAGATCCCGAGTAAATATACAGCCTTAGCCCAGGGACAATTATTCCTTGTTTACAATTAGAAGAGAAGGGAAACAAAGGCCTTATTATTTTGCCTGGGGATGCAAATAACACGCGGTATTTTCCACACCATAATGTACCAGACAAAATTTTAAAAGGAAATGTTGCAGAGGTTAAGGCAGATTAATGACTTCCGTGATCTCAGAACAAAGAATAACATGATATACTTATTTACGTTTAAAATGAAGTCGCCCAGACAAATGATGGAGCTTTCCCCTCAATTAACTCAATTATTGTATCTTCGAGATTTTATCATGCCACTCTCTAAAAATGGAGGAAATGACTCTTGCCTGCTTGCATGCAGTGATTGCAAGGCAGGGCAGCTCGACGCTGCGCCGTGGGGACAACCTGCCTTGCACCAACCTCATATAGCACACACGTCCTGCAGGTTAGGGACACAAGAAGTAAATAACCTCTCCAGCTGAAGCTGAAATGCTAGACCATCTCAAATTGCATCATAAGCTGCAACTGGTGCCAAAATTGTTGTGGGTATCATGGAAATAAATTCCAATTTAGAGATTTCCTAACTACCTGCCAGCAAAGTGGTAAACCCCACTCTTTAAATAAAATTGCTGGTTTGTCCAACATGTAATAGTTCCAGTGAATATAAAGATACCTTTAAAACGTGATGGTCAAGTGAAAAAAAGAGGGTATTCAGCCTTGAAAATAAAAGCCAGGACTGCAAATTCTTGCCTTACCAACAGCTAAATGCTAAGTGCAGGCATTCAGCACGGAGCATCTGCCTCATGGGTTTGCATGTCCTTGTGCAGATGGGATGAGCCGTAAGGCTCCTCTGGCTCTTGGAGGGGAAGGAGTTGGTCACAAGGACATTCTTCCACATGTCAGTGGGTGGATGTCCACCCCCTCCTGCAACTGCCAGGGTGCTAGCTACATGCCAGTGCAGGGGACTGATGGGAGGAACTGGGCAGGTGAAACACATGCAAACCTATGATCCTACCGGAGTGTCGGAGCGCTGAGAAGCCCTGCTCATCCTCCCAGCCCCAGGTGGGCTCACTCTCGTTGAGCACTGGCTGGAAAGGAGGTGGTTCATTGTGCCAGGTCACGTCTGAGCTGTTGAGGGGAAAGGGAGATGGTCAGCCTTCCTTCTGGAGCCTGCAGAAAGCAGGGCCACTACCAACTATGGACAGTGTGAAGGCATGTCTTGATGATGTTAAACACAAGAGGCAGTTTTGGAAAGTGAACAGGTTGAGTGTTGTCAGAGTGGGTTACGAATTCATTTTGGGTTTAAAATATGTTACAGGGATTTATATACCATAAATATCCCCAATGTGGTAAAAAGAACCAACATATAAGATTTGGAGTGTGGGGTATTATTAAAATCTGCTGTCTTCCAAAAGTCAGAGCTTGACTCCAAGTTCAACCCAGTCAACTTAAGCTGAGTTACAACAGCAACAATATTAAGCCTTTTGTCTCCTCTAACTCATATGTCCTTGAGGCCTACATTTTGCTTGTGGAGAGAAAACAACTGTGAAGGTTATGCAAAACACCCGATACACGAACACCACCACTGAGAGCAAAAAATTCAACATGGCTGGTGCCCTGCCATGGTGTGCCAGGCACCCAGGTTAATCACAGCCTCAGCTCACAGTCTATCCCCAGTTCTTGACCATACCAAGCCCAAAATGTTTTACATAATGGATATTTTTCAGCCTGTGTGCCACGCCTAAATAGTGCCTTCCTTGGAATGAAGATCACGGTGGTATGGTGAGGCCGGGAGAGGGTGGGCAAGCCCTCCAACTCACCTGCTGTTGTGGCAGTCGCCGGTGTGGGGGTCGCAGCTGCGGGCGCAGTCGCAGGGGCGGCAGCCGTAGGCTCCAAAGCCCCAGTAGCCGGGCAGGCAGTGGTCACAGCGGGGTCCCGCCACGCCAGGCTTGCAGGGGCAGTCGCCAGTGCTGGGGTCGCAGAAGGTGCGGGGGCCCAGGGGGAGCACAGCTGATCCCAGGGGGTGACATGAGCAAGCTGCAGGGGACACCGTGAGAGGCAGAGCATCTGTGAGTGCACAAGCTCTCCAGGAAAAGGTACAGGAGATGCCTGACAAACCACTGCTCTGCCTAAGGATGCTGGTGGGTTTTCTGTGCTTTCTTCCCCCCTCACCCATACAAACTTGCACAGAATCTCCCTTTGGAATCTGTATTATTTTAACTTCTGTGATCTATTTTAATTAATCAACCTACCCCGGTGTCGTGTTATGTTTTGCCAAACAGGCCTTTATTACTTTCCTTACAGCATCTGGACTCTAGTCCAGCCAAGTACCCGTGGATGTGCCTGGCTCACTGTGGAATTTAAGCAGCTGCGGGTGCTTCACTGCAAAAATGAATCAGAGCGTAATTGCTTTTTCAAGTAATAACAACTGTCTTGAATCCAGGAGGTTAAAAAAACCCCTCAGAACAGTCATTTTAATTAAAGTGGAGGCTGAGCATAAAGTACCCTTCTGTCTCTGTCTGATTTTTAAAGCCATCATTTAAAAACATCAGAAAAAAAGAATGAGGACACTAAAAGTTCAGGGATATGCTTTTGCATATACTCCAGAACACAGGTTTTCAGAGTGCATGTCAGAAATGCCAGTTGCTCTCTTTCCTCTCCCCTTGCAGCAGAACAATACACTAGAAGTGTATTGGGACACAGAGGGTTTAGGATGCCCTAAAACAGGTGGTGTAAAGTTTTCCTTGCCTGCTGCTTTGGATTCTTCTTTTGCATAAATGCAATTTATGTCTTTTGCAAGACTACTTTCCCCCAAAGATATTAATATTTTCAAAGATCAGAAATAGGGTTATCAAAAGCATAAGTCAAACCTCTGACCATCTGGCCAGGCCAGCAGGCAATGTGGTGACTTGTGCTCTCCTTACCTCAGGGTTTGGTTCTCTGACCAGGAGAGGGTATGGTCAATCTTGTGCATTATGGCAAAAAAATTCCCTGCTGAAAGAATGTTGCCCAAAACTTCATTTACATAAAAACTAGATTTCCTGAGAAAATTTCCTCTGGAGGGAAAATCTTCACTAAATCATAATATCAATCTTTATTTTTGCAACTGCAAAGGCAATAAAGCAGAAAAGCCACTGCAGGCAACACAGCCTTTCTTTCTCTTAAAATGCTTATTGCTGCACACATATATTTAATTTTGTTCTGACAACATTTTTGTGGTTTCAGGAATCTGACATACCTGGAGTATCGTTTCAAAATATTAAAGGATAGATTAATATTGGCAGTTAACTTAGAGGTGACTACAATTCCAACATCTTTGCCAAAGTAATCCCCAAATTTTCCCCACCCTTTCCATTCCCAAACAAATATAATTATATAAAATTAAAAGATTAGAAAGCCTCTTCACAAACTGCATAACTAGCCGCAGGCAGTGAACTCCGGTACCTTTAATAGCATAGTTTTCAACAGCACTCACTGAGACTTGCATACCTTTCTCCTGAAGTCTGTGAAGTGTTTTACACCTGATACATATAGCCAAATGCTCTCTTGTCCTACTAGATGTGGTGGGTATTTCTGGCATTCCTCAGCCCCTTCAGGGGAAATATCAAGCACTCAAGGCTCTTCTATTCTCCCGTAGTCAGGGAGATAAACCCACAGCTCAGTGAGAAACTTGGTCCTGTTTCGTTTGGGTTTCAGCTGAGTTTTACAGACAACCCTATTAGGATTGGAGCTTTTTATGTTTTAGAAAATTCTTTCACACATGTTTTTTCGTAATAGAAAATTTAAGATCAGTAGCAGCACCATGGTGGAGGGAGAATATTACATTTACAAAGGCTGTTGTGAAAAATAGAGTAGTAAGCTCACAGGCAAGTAAAAAGGTAACTTGAGAATGTAGTTGGCTATACTTTTAATAAAAGCCACAAAAAGATGGGTTGTAAAGGTTGGTAACTTCTAACAGGTCTGCAAACCCACTCCTTGGACTCCATCCTTCCTGGCTGCTCCTCTATGAGCTACCAAGGCTCCAATCAGCTTTCCAATGGTGGCCAGCAGATTGAAGCTTTTTGCTCTTGCATCTTGGGTGGAGGCCCAAGATGACACTAAATGGCAATAATCTGAATGGTGGGGTGGCAAATTTTCAACACGGTAAACGTTTGTGATGGGCTGCAGTGGGAACATGCTGGGAAATGCAGACATAAAGTGAAGCCCATCACTACACACTCAGCACAGAAATGAGACACTAAAGCTCAAATCAGAACACGTTGTATCCCATTTGAAAGAAATCCATGAAAACAGGATGGAATGCTTCCATACTACAGCAAGAAGAGGAAGAAGAAGACTGCAGGACTGATTATATTATGTTTGGAAGCTGGAGCTAGTGCTTCCTCTTGGGCAGCTGTGCTGTGTTGGTTTTAGGCCCCATTTTTCTCCTTCCACACAATCTGCACCTCACTGGAACACAGATGGTAGGAGACCCATGTCCAGGAAGGTGAGAGGAGCAGCTGAGCAGCAGATAAAGCAGCTACAAACAGTGTTGAATGGCATTTCATTGTGGATACACAGGTGCAGAGTGCAAGACTCTCAGTGCAAGGCTTCCGACAGTACCTGTCTCGTGCTGTGGCCACCTCACCAGGGAGGCTGGGGATTTCCACAGCCAAGTGAGCTCTTGCAAGAGAAGGGTTGGCCAGGCACCAGCCTTGGACCAAAAGAAACCTTCCACAAGCTTGATCTTTTGCTTACTTCTTGATTTGTAAGCAGAATTGCTAAAAATGCTGATTTACCACCCTGTATATATAGTAGTATTTTGCATGTGACTTCCATGCACATATGAATTAACAGCTGCCTGTCCTAGCATGGCATGTGCTGACCAGGATGGAAAAACAGTAAGATGCTAGCAAAGCTGGATTTCTCCACCCTGGATTGGTGATACTGTTGTGGTTTCTTCAGCTGCCAGCTACCTTTTGAAATGACAAATATTTACCCTGAAAAATCTACATCTGAAAAGCAAAAATAAACTCGTTAATTATAAAACTTGATTTTATTGTCTGCAATTCTACTGTAGCTGAGGCTTAAAAACTCATGAGGATGTAAAGAAAAGGACTGATAGGTATGGCAGGGGGAAAGAGTCATCAGATTGGTGCTTTAAACGTCAGAATGTCTCATTTTATCAGGTACACACCTTCTCCAGAGCAAATATTATATACACTCTTTGCCTACAAGAATCTTTAAAGTATCCTTAAAGATTATGGCTTAACAACTCCTTTATTTACTTTGACCTAGGCATTTTTAAATTTTCAATGGTTGAACAATAACAGTACCTTGAGCCAAAGCAATGCCATGGCCTCCCCAGAAAGAATAACAGGGCTCCATGCATGCCTCTTGTTATTGCAGACCATGGCATGGTCCTTGGAAATGTTCCAGGCATAGGCTGTAATTGATCTTATATAATTTAATTTAACAGTCATTAGTCATTTTCTACGGCCCTGCAGCTGCCATATCCCCCAGGATGCTGGGTCCCTGGGTGCAGGGAGAAGTCCTGGAAGCAGGAGACCAGAAATGAAGAGGTGAAGGGGTCTTAGGGAGGAGTACATCTGTGAGGGTTTGAAAAGCCCAGAGAGAAATCATGTGTGAGTTTGTACTAATAGGGTCTCTGAAAAGAAAGCACTCAGATAATCCCTACATTTGTGGAACCCAGTTTGTGCTAGGAAAAGTTGTCTTTCTTGGAACTTGAGTACTTTATGCTCTGTAATTCATAAATACAGGGAAAAAAAAAAGGGTGCAACAAACTAGACGTGCTTTATACAGAAGGTAAATAAATGTAGACTTTTTCTTACTGTACTCAAGAGTATCTTACAGTTTTTGTCAACTGTATGTTATCTTTGGCTTTTAAATACCAGAGTTCAAGAATACCTAGTGATCCATAAAGAGGTTGGATGATTGTATTAAAGGGTAATGGGGGTACTTTTTTTTTTTTTTTTTAAATGTGGAAGTGGAATGCCATGGGCCAGTGACTCAGAGATTAATGCAGAAAGTCAAGAGAACCAAGCACTAGCATATGTCAAAAAAATACTCATTAATCATCTGATCTCCACAGCTTCCTCTGGCCCAGAAAGACTGAGAGAAACATTTTAATCAAGAACCCTGGAATTTGGCTAACATATAGCTAATGATGTGATCAAATGACTGACTTTGTTAGCGATGGTTTAACTTACACACAGGCACAGGCGCACACACACACACACACACACACACACACACTGTTTTGGCAGCCTTCCCTTTGGACTGTGGCTGTTCTGCAGCGATATGTCCCAAGACCTCTTGTTTCCATCTGGCTTTGCAAGGCAGGGAGGCTCTGCGCTGGCCAACCCAGGAGTTGCCATTTGACTTCCTCTTGGACCCTCCAAACAGCTACAGACTATGAATTGGGCATTCTGGCTCCTGGAAAACCTTACGATGAGTCCCTCGTGAAACTACGTCTCCTCAATGGACTGCATGAGATGACACAGGAGGCCATTTTCAAGGTGAAGGATGGTGTTTTTAGGTGTCCAGAACACCACACTCAACTCAGTGCCAAAGCTTCACTTGGCCTCAATGGCCTCGGAAAACTGTGTGTTCCTCCCTGATGGGAGCTGGCACATAATTCCGTCAGGGATTACAACTCTAGCAAAGGTACAAAAACCACAGTAAAAGCATGTTTCAGAGCTTGAGGGTCCCATACAGAATTAATTTCAGTCTTCTGTCTTACATTATCTACCAGGAGTCAATTAATCCAATTGGTTCTTTTCTTAATCAACAAGGATGAATCCTTGCGTTAGAAAAAACCATCAAGCCTCTGCTTATGGTCTAAATTCAAGACTTAAATCTGTTTTTTTACTAATGAGACTCCAAAACAAAAGTTCATTGCCTAACTTCTGGAAATAATCAAGGAGGGAAAGTATCTGATGTTTCAGAGAAGGAGACTTGGAACTTTGATGTACACAAGTAGGTAAAGGAACTTGAAAAAGTTATTAAATTCACTGTTAAAAAATTGTTTACATACTACAGCAGTGAAGTAATTATTTACACAAGTAATGGAGAACTGTGGTAAATTCTGTTTTCATAAAGAGAACTAGGATTCAGGTGTTGCTGCTCCTCCTTGCAATGGGTGAAGGGTGGACAGGAGGAGGACCTCTGTGACAGACTGGTGGGGGTGCTGGGAATCTCGTGAGGATGATATGCAGTGAGGGAGTGGGACAAAAGCAGTTGTTCCCCACTCAACATCAAAGAACAAGGTGAAACTGCACACATTTGCAGCCTGGGATACAGCTCCCACCGCAGAAGGATTTCCTCTTTATTTAAATGCAGGTAGTTCTCCTTGGGAGGAAGGAGTTGTGCTCAGCATCTCCTCAAATGACATGGGCAGGGTGTCAGTCACATTTTTTTCTGTCACTTATGAAGGTTCCCCTTCAGATTTGGGCCAGTGAGGTGAAATTTGGTGAAGCCAATGGGCGGCTGCAGGCTCAGAGAAGAGAGCATGTCTTAATCCCATATTTGGCTGATCAGTGTAATGTGATCAGCACGATTTGGGGATCCAGAGTCCCCCACGGTAAGTCACTATCCCCAGAGTGGTCCCTGTGGCTTTTGTATTGCTGCTTTTGTTGGGGAAATATTTAATTTCACATGTGGCTGAGTCATTGCCTTTGGCCTGGCGGCCTCGGTGTCTCACTGTCTGAAGAATCAGTTAACTTGTTCCTGTCAGTCCCTCCCTCCACACCCACCTGCTGCTGTTGCGAACACAAACTGGTGGGCAATGCTATTTGTCAGCTGCACCCCTCTTTGCTGAGGCACCTGATTCTGAGGTTGCAGCAATCACCAAACAAGGTGAACATGAAAACATGATGCAGCTTTTGCTCTCCAAAAATAGCAAAAGGAGAAAGTAAATTAATCATGTCTCTTCCTCTGCCCTCAAGCTACAGGGATCATCAAGATAGATTTGTCAATCGCATCTGCAGACTTTCACCCCGCAAATATCACCACTGCGTTTTGCAAATAGCATCACAAAGGCAATTCAAAGAGCTCTCTGTCCTTCAGTGAAGCAAGAAGATCACTCCAAGGAGGGGCAGGAAGATCTCACCTGTCATTTGACACTTTCCCACTTGAGAAGCACTTCACTAGTAAAAGGTTTCTGACTTACGTTTGCAGGCATCTGGGGCAGAGAAGGGCTTCCTGAGGTCCCGGTAGAAGCCCAGCTTGCAGCGCTGGCAGTGCTGCCCTTCTGTGTTGTGCTGACAGTTGTCACAGACGCCGCCGCTGCGATTGCCTGATGCCAGCCATGCATCCATGTCAAAATGACAAGTGTCGGCATGCCCGTTACACTTGCACGCTGAGATGAAGCCAAAGGCAATAGAAAGACTCATTAAGGCAGTGAAAGATGTTGATTTGTAAAAAAGAGACACAAAAACCCAAGCCATGTTTTGGAATGGAGATTTTACCTATGCATCTGTTATTCACTCAAAGGCATGGAGTATCATGACATTTTCATGCCTACTTCCCAGATTCTAGAAGTGACATTTAAGAAAAAGTATTTTCTTCAACTCTTTTATTTCCAATACAGGTTTCAGTACAAGGACAGCCACAGATGGTCAGGCTAGTGCAGGGAGACAAAAACAGTGCAAAGAGAGCCATTCCTGCCACACAAACATGGATGGGTGCTGGGCAGAAGCGTGACATTGGCTCTTCCCTCACTGAGATGCTTTGCAAGCACCCACCACCCCAGTATCTGCTGCCTCTCGGAAACACGGGAGAAAGGCACATATGGAGGGAGCATTTCCCTATGGCAGAGGCTCTGGAGACACTGTTCCTGACCAGTTACTTACACTGACACTCTCTGGGGGCTCCAGTTTTGCCATCGGCAGCCTGCCAAGGCTGGTCGTTGTAGAGCGGAGCGCAGTGCTGACAGTGGGACCCCGCTGTGTTGTGCTTGCACATGCATTTCCCATGGACCTAGTACAGAAAAGAGAGCAAGGATCACCCACAGAAAAGCTCAAAGAGTTTGAAGGGCACAAGCAATGCCCACATACAGGAGATAGTATGCCAGCTAGATGCTATTACATACGTGAGAAAGAGGGATAGCACCATGTCTGCCTCGATGATCAGTGCAGCCAAGGGCAAATATTCTGCAGTTACACTTTCAATTCAATCAGTATTTGTGGATCTGCATGTCATGGTATTGTATAATCACACTTTTTTTTTTTTTTTTTAAATCTAAAAGGATCTTTAGCAGTTTCCAGGTGCAACATGAATTTCCAGAAGAGATTAAAAAAAGCCAAGATTCAAAATATCCTTGAGAAACACTGTAAAACTTTTCTCTTTTTCTCCCTCCCAAACATGAATACACCTTTGTAGTGCTGCAGGAATAGCACCCACAACCTCAGCACCTAGCTCTGTGTGCCCAGCCATCACCAACACAAATAAGTACAAGAAAAAAGAAATTCAACAACCTGAAACATAAATATCTACTCATTATAGGCAGAATTTTTGCCCCACAAAGGAAGAACCAAGGACAGCACAAGGACCATGACTGACTATTCTCGGACATGTTCATGACAGATAATTTAACAGCTAGACAGCCCAGTGTAAGGAGGTAATTAGAGATGAAAGGCCAGTGTAGCACACTTGGTGCCAGCTGCCCTGTCAGTCGCTGGCATTACTCACCCTGTTGGCAAACGCAAAGAAAACAGGATGTAGCCAGAGGGCACAAGCAGCCCAGCAGTGCCTGGATGCAATGAAATCGAGCTCTGCAGCAGCATGGCTCTGCTGGCAAGGATGATAGCCTTGCCTTTTCCCATGGAGCATGGCAGGTAACTATCTACTGTAGCTATTTTGGTGTGTGTCTGTGTTTGCAGCTTGGCTCAACATTTTGCTTTTAAATACACAGTTCGGCTTCTCCTGCTGCTCAGCAGTGAGACGGAGGCCTCAGTCTGCCCTGCCAGCATGGCCCTGCGCTCATGCCACAAGTTGGCCATAAAACCAATGGAGCTACACCAGCTGCCGTCTGCTTTTGGCATAGAGAGGAACAGAGGGCAGTTGGGGTGCCTGGTGATCCAGCCTGGAGCTGGGGCATGGCTTTAACTGCTACTGGAAAACTCTGCCTTCCACACTATTTAACTTGCGGTTTTATAAGCGTGCTGTTCCTAACTGCATGACTTGCTGCCGGGACTGCCACAAAAAAGGTTCCTGTGAAAAACCTGAACAGTAAACAAAACAGAAGAGGATCTTGAACATGTTGTAAACAGCTCCTGCTTGTTACATTGGCACACACCACACACACACCTGCCTGATGATGACTTTCTGATTTATTCACTTTTAATGAATAGATTTTAGCTGGTATCTCACAGGGGTCAGATGTAACCCCTGTGTACAGACAAAATTTCAAAACTGACCTTGAAAGTCCTTCAAAGACTCTTCAGCAGCAACGAAAATAGCAAAACCTTTCAAGAGCTTTCTAAGCAATCCATTCCAGCCTTATTAAAATGTCTAGATCATCAAAGGAAAATATAGAACAACAACTGGGCTGTGCAAGCAATGGATAGGTACAGATGAAATCAGAATGCACAAGAATCTAAACTAAAGTGAAAATACATTGTTTTCTGTGTTATTTGGCCTTATTGCAGGTATCCATTGGTCTCACCGCAGATACTAGTTGGTCTGTCTGGTTTATTGTATTGATATATGCTTAAAAGTGTGCTAACTTTTGAAAAGAATGAGAAATAAAAGAAAGAAAAGAAACAACAGATTTGTGGAGGGAATATTTAGTTGTCAAAGTGTGTCTTGTGTTTTCATATTTTCATTTTTGCTACCACCTACAAAATGTTCTTCAAACTCTCAGATGCCTCACTTTCTTAAATTACAACTCTTCGATAAATTTCTCTCTCGTATTTTTTAGGCAAGGTCTACACACAGACTGATGTTACAAGGTGTAACATCATGTTACATGTATGTAACATCATGTAACATGCATGAGGTTCATGCACATTTAAAAGCATAGAAACAGAAAATTCCTGCATGGAAACAGAAAATTGCTAAACCTATATTGGTCATAAGATCATCTGGTGGTTTTGATGGAGTTCTAACTCTTTGATGCCACTTTTGGCAGGAGTTTCCTGCAAGCCCTTTGGCCATTGAATAGTTAGGGCTAAACAGGTTGTACTAGAACCCCATATGTGGCAGAGAAACCCTTCAGAAATCCTTCCTCGCAGGACTGTCCCAGCTGTTAGGATAGAGGGACCCATCAGACCCAGGACATATGTGAACAGGAAGGGAAGTTGACCTGAGTGAGTCGGAGGGTGCCACGGCCAGAACCAGATGGTCCCTTGGCGCTTTGAAAATCATGATGCCAAAGTGAGAAGGACAAGGGAGAAGAATTGCAATCAGGTGTATCTCTCAGACACTGGGACACTTGGGATTACTGTCTCCCCCTGCCCGTGCCCACAGCCCGTAGCCTCACCCCCCAAATTCAGCTTCCTCCTTGCCAAAGCCATACAAAGAATCAGTGGGACCCAATCAATCAGCTGGAGGCTGCTCAGCATTAATAATCCAAAAACTCATCTGAAACTCAGAGCATTTAAGAAACTCTCAAAAGATTAAGCATCCCAAGACACCAGCACAGAGAGAGGCAAAATTCCCTGCCGAGGAGCATTTACAGTTCCGAAGAGTCAGAGCCCGCATTTTCTGAAAGCCCAAGTGCTGTATAATAGAGCATGCCACATTGCTGGAATAAAGGGAGGTGGGTGAAAATAAAACAGAAGAGGATGGGTATCCCAAGAACTTGCTGTGCCACCATGAATTTGGCAGGCAGAGCTAATATGTAAGCCACTGAATAGCTATGCACCAACATCAACATATTAATATTAATATTAATCTGTATGTGAACTCTAAAGAAAAAGGTTTTATAAAATTTAAAAACTGTTGCAGCAATGGAAGGCTTGTGGGGTCTCAGATGCTGTGGCAAGGAGAGCTGCAAAAGAGCCAATTTGGAGATGATGCAAATCAAGCCAGCTGGTGTTTAGATAGCAGCAGAGCATAGCGTGATGCTCCTGGTATTGATTGCTTGTAAAGCTGTAATGCACCTCGGTGGAAGGAAACAAATGCTCTGTCTGAGAAGCTTAAAAAAATACGTGAATAGCATGATTGTCACATCTCTGTAAAGGCCCGAAGGCTTGGGCTCCCCAGCTGACTCGATGGATGTTGTTGCAACTGGGTCAGGAAGAACCATGTGTTACCAGTCCTTATCAAAAGGGTGTTCCTTTGCAGTTTCTTTTCCTCAGGGTTTATCACAACCAGATGTGTCAGTGCCTTCTTTGGCTGCTCCCTCCCAAGCACAGATCCCACTGTGGATCCTGCACCCCCTCTGCTCACCTCAGCATGGCCCAGCATGGGCTGTTCAGTAGCCCAGCCTGCCATGCACTCTTTGCAAACCTGTGCACCCCTGCTCACTGCTCCCATCTCAGTGGGATTCATTTTTGGGTGAACACATGCAGAGGCACTGGATGCAATGGGCCAACTGATCCTGCTTCTGTATCAGATGCAGCTACTTCAGTCTTTGGGAGTAAGCTTTGGAAAAGGCAGTAGGGTTCCCAATTCCAATGGTACTGTGCCTTTAAAGTGGTGTTACTTAAATAGTCTAGACACTGAGAAAACTTTGCCTCCCCAGGGTCCCCCCAGGTCTCACAGTGGTCCCAACCCCTCTCGGCCAGGCAGAGCATGGGGTGCAGACCTACTAATGAACAAGCTGAACAGCTAAATGGGCAGTCAAACCAGCGAGGGGAAGGAAACAGGGTCTTTAACAGCTTGTTTTTCAGTGCAACCATTTAGTTAGTACCTTCTTCACAGAAGTTTAATGAAAGTTGGACCCAGGTGCTTCCAAAAACCGTACCTCGGGCTGATGTATTTATTATCTTACAATAGTGTTATAATGATTAACCCTCCAAAACAGCTCTGCTTTAAAAAAATTATCTCTCCATCCTAGCTTTATCCCACTGAAGAAAATACATTTTTTCTTTTACATAATTCCAGCATGACAGAAACATTTTTATGTGTTGGAAGCAACAAAAGAAGGTGAAAATTAGTAAATCCTTTCTTGCAGCCCATAAGCAGAGATTATTTCTTTTAGTTATAAAGAAATACTCTGATAGATGGAAATAGGAGAAAGACAGGACAAGAAGGGATAATACAAGGAAATGAGAAGTGGTGGCAGATGAAAAACAGCCAACAGTCTGTCTACAGCAAGTAAAATTAATGCCTATAAGAGCTGTAGGAGGGCCAGTTGCAAGACTGCTCTGCCGTGTAAACACCCTGTCATGCCACAGAGCAGCTGGGAGACAGGGCTGAGAAACCAGCCCAGCAGCTCTTCTGGGACCCAAGGTAGAGTGGGAAAATGATGTACCTGGCCTTCAGGATTTCTCCAGCATCTCAGCACCCTTCTGAAAGCAGAATGTGATCCCTATGTATTGACAGGGAAAAGAGAACATTTTTTCCTCCCTTTTCATTCACCTCAACCTACAGTTAACTGTAAGGCGTACCCACCAGGGTCATTATGGAGCATTGCTAAGTACACAAACACAATTCCCAGTATGTCTCATCCCTTCAAGCATTCACACAGCTCTTGACTCATTTGAGCGGCAAAGCCTTCTTATACCATTTTTCATTCTGTCATGGGGTCTTTATATCCCAGTTCACTTTCACACTGTTCCCCTTCTTAGCTTGACAGCCCCGTCACAGTGTCAGTCATTAGAGGGCACAATGCAAACAGTGCTACAAAAGTTGCCTTCTGTAAGATAAACGAGTGTCTGATTTCTCTATACAAAGACAGTTGCTAGGGCATGCTTCCTTCCAGAGCCTTTTGTTGCCGAATTATAACCTTCCAGCGCTTCCTTTCAGATTGCAAATATATAGGTTTTTGTCCTTAGTCAAATCCTATAAAATACTTTCGCCTGTATTTATCACGTTCCAAAATGTTGGGCAGTGACAAAGAAATGCTGCACTGGGGGGAAAATGCTTTCAATATCCTGTTATGAATTGATTTATATTGCAGGAACTCACTCACTGTATAGAGTCCAACACAAATGCACACTAAAAGAAAATCAGCCAAAGACCTGATAGCGTAAATAGGCTAAACAGCTGGGAGGGGCAACAGCTTTTGAGAGAATTTCTTTGTTGGAACTGCTAAAACTGTATTTTTTTTTTTTTTTTACTTTCTTGGAAAATGGGCATGATATCAGCCTAAGGAGAAATGACAGCATTCACACTGCTTTTAAACTGTGTTGCGTTCGAACCACTGTGCCAGTTTTAGAACCAATGCCTACTGGCTGCTGTCAGCACGTGGGGAGGTGTTCTTTTCCCAAAGCACCAGACAACCAAATTTATGCATGAGAAAATTCTCATATCCTACCTCGTTCTTGTGAAAGAATGCAAAGCTTGTTGTCCAGGGTGTAGGGGCTGTCTGGTGTTTTTTTTTTAATTCCTTGTACAATAGGCTTCTGTCAGTGTTGCTGTAGAAGACCTTGAGCATCTTTTGATGTCAGTAGCACGATAACAATTTATAACAGCCACTGGGCTGCCACACAGGAAGGGGGAGAAATATTCACTCTGCCTGACTACATAGAAGTGTTTTAGCACAGTACACAGTCCACCCAGGATCCCAACCATACTTTAGCATCCCACCCCTTCAAAACTATAGAAGGGGCCTGGGGCGATCAGCTGGCTAACTTGGGTACATCAAATGCATACCTAACATGAAGTGAAGCATATCTGGGATTTGGTGCCTAACTGTTAGGGTAGCTGCCAGAAATCAAATTCAGATGTATTTTACGGATCAGGTTCCAAATGGGTCTCTCTGTTCAGTCTAGAAAATAAAGCACGGTTCCTGGAAAAGTCCCTGACTTACACTGACACAGCACCTTGGACTACTAAAGAAGCATATAAGCTTCTTGCAGCAGTGCTGTTCCGGCATGGCAGCAGCACCACACCAAACCATGCTTTGGGCACATGTTTTAGGTCCACTGAAGATTCTTCATCACTAAGTTCTAGTTCCCCACTTCCTCTCTTCCGAGCAAAGATAGCTGCTGTATCATGTTATAGAGGAAAAGAGAGAACAAGAGGATGAAGAAAACTGGATGGCTTCATTTGTTCTCATTCTGTTCAATGCAGGTGAAAGATGCACAGACAGCATTTCACTAGAGGTAATGGATGAGGGGAAAGGAAGGACAGAGTGGGAAACATTGCATAGTTAATAACAGTGAATTATCAATGATATAATGAAGTCATCAGTTGATAGTGGTATGAGGTCTGTTCGTCCATGCACATTTTTTCCTGGGTATGCGCTGGGCTGTTGCTGATGAGATTTGGGTAGTGACCCTTCGAACAAGTTTGGGAGGAGTAGGAAAGAGAGAAAGTGTATCTGTATCAACCTGACAGCTGTCTGTGGCACACAGGTGTACAACAAGGGACAGTCAGGATTATACTACCCATGAGGGGCAGCCCTCACCATTCTTGGAAGGCAACCAAGGTTTCTCTGTAGTCTTCCTAGGGAGCTCATGGAGATATACCCTCCCCTAGAGCAGAAGTCCCACCTGTATTTAGAGCAGAATTCACCAAAAGGCTGACATGGCATTCCCGATTCTCAAACAAAACTGGAGCTTTCCCACATAAATTCCATTCTCTTTTAGGAGAAAGGGTGGGCAGGGGAATTGCCAGCAAGAGGGGAACAGCACAGAGAGTTTTGCAGCTGGATGGTGGTGACGGCACAGAAACAAATCTCTTTTTTTATCAGTCCTTGGCTATTTTTTTTGTTGTTGTTGGGGATAATGTGAAATAACCTCACAGTGAATGCTTGGAAGTTAGGATTTTACCTGTACACTGAGACCAAGTAGAGGGTTAAGAAAACTTACACATACATTTTTTTGAAAAGAAGGGGGCTTTTTTAAAGGATTTTAAACTTGCTTAAATGTTGATGTTAACTCTCTAACTTATTCTTCAGGAGTGCTCTGGTCTAAACAAGCATAAGAACAGAACCAGATTTTATAATCATATGGTGAAATAACAATGTGCTTCCCAGTTTTGTTTTCCTTGGTTTTATAGTGAAGGTTCTGCTAAAACCCCAGATGGAAACATAAAGTTACATAAAGACTAGACTGAAGTCCCCATCTCTCTCTTGAATGACTGACCATAATGCTTCAGAATTATATTTTCCCTGAGTTTCTCAGGTGAAATGTACAAAAATGCTCCCTCTCTGAAATCCTAAGTCAGTAGTTTTCTGACTTCTCCCAGCTAAACAGCATGGAGATCAGAATCTTTCATCCCTTTTCTGTTCATTCACACTCATGTCTTCCTATTATCTTGAAAATAATCTTCTCTTCCAGTCTTGAAGCAATGCACTGGCAACCCCCAGGATGGTATGCACGAGTGGGTTGCCACTGCAGTCCCCAAATAACAGCAGCCTTGTTCCAAGCAGGAGCCTGGCACAGACCAGGCTCAGCCAAAACTAGCTCAGTCCTATGATGGAAGAGGTGGTATTGGTAGAGGAAACCTCTTGCCACTCCTTCACCCTCCCTGCAAACCATGGGGCTATGTCACCCCTACACTAACACATATCTCATGGGACATGCAGAATAAGCTGTATGACATAGTAAAATGAGTCAGCCTCACTGTAGAAACGTCACCTTTGGGACTCCTGCCACATAAATATTTATAATCAGAGTTGAATTTCCCCCTCGGGGCCAGTGCAGGGGCTTGTTGCTATTTTTTGCTTTGTTTTTCAGCGCGATTTTGGCACTTGCTTCCTTCCCACAGCACTGCCTGTTACCTGCACACTCTCCTTTCCATACACTATAGCCATACCGGAAGCCTATTTGGTTGGAGACTCTGTTACAACTCTCACTGGTGCTCCAGGGCACTCTCCTGTGCAATTGTATCCCACCAAAATAATCATGAGCACAGTGCTGAATGCTTTCAAACTGGTGTATTTTCAAGGTGTTGCAAGACTAGCACTATTAGAAGGGAAACATGCTCTCTGCTCCATGTCTGAGATTGTAATTTAAGTGAAAAGAGAGATTGAGAGTTCCCTGAAGAGCTGGACTCCCTACCTTGAGTAACTGCCTTTTTTTTTTTTTTTTTTTTTTTTTTTTTTTTTTTTTTTTTTTTTTTTTTTTTTTTTTTTTTTTTTTTTTTTTTAATGATCTGTTCCCTTTCTAACGTTATTCAGCACAATATATTTGGCTGACCCAGCTTTACCACTCTTCTGCCAGCAAATCCAGGGTTTTCTGAACCAGTATGGATGGGCAAAAAGGATAAGATGTGCTGGGGGCAGCAAGTGTCCCTGGACTGGCTGGATGCAGGCATGCCATGCCACAGGCATATGGCAGCTGCTGCTGTGCCCATCACCTCCCCAGTGGGTTAGGGGCTCTTGCTTCCTTGGATCATGGGGGGACTGGGGTTTAGGTCTTGATGGGTCCCAAGGGATTTGAGCTCAGAGTTCTTGCGATGAAGTCCCCTTGAAACCAGAGCACAGGGTTTTCATCCAGAGAAAGGTATTGCAAAGTGCAATAAAATGCCTGAGAGTGAGAGTCAAAACCCAGCTCGCTGTCCCCTTGGTTCGGGACCCAATCCAATATCTGAGGATCCTCCAGAAGCAATGGCAGTCATGTGATGCCTAGTACCTTCAGAGAAGCTCTCCTCCTACTTTGTTATCAAAATGCCCTGCATTTATTATCGTTTAGATATTGTGTTCTTGCAAGCTAGCATTTGGGGGAAGATGTGAATCAGCAATTTAATTTTTTTAAGGATCTACCTAAAATAAATAAATTACTGAATCATAGAATCATAGAATTAACTGGGTTGGAAGAGACCTCCGAGATCATCAAGTCCAACCCTTGATCCAACCCCACTGTGATTACTAGATCATGGCACTCAGTGCCACATCCAGTCTCATCTTAAAAACCTCCAGGGATGGTCAATCCACCACCTCTCTGAGCAGGCCATTCCAATGCCTGATCACTCTCTCTGTAAAAAACTTCTAATATTCAACCTAAACCTCCCTTGGCACAGCTTAAGATTGTGCCCTCTTGTCCTATTGCTAATTGCCTGAGAGAAGAGACCGACCCCCACCTGGCTACAACCTCCTCTCAGGTAGTTGTAGAGAGTGATGAGGTCACCCCTGAGCCTCCTCTTCTCCAGGCTAAACAACCCCAGCTCCCTCAGCATCTCCTCATAGGACTTGTGCTCAAGTCCCTTCACCAGCCTTGCTGCTCTTCTCTGGACCCGCTCCAGCACCTCAATATCCTTCCTGAACTGAGGGGCCCAGAACTGAACACAATACTCCAGGTATGGAGCACCTTTGAAGCACGAGAGTCCCACACCAAGGCACAAAGGAAGTCCAGTGCTTCAGCCTCACATGGAGATCACCTCCTTTGTAAAGATCGTTTCTGCCCATTGTGCTTGGAATTCAGGGCACCTCATGTCAAATACCTCATACTTGGACCTATACCATCCCTTACTATTTTTAAAACTCTGCTTTGCTGCAGTTCAGACATTGTTGGGTGCATGCACATACCACATGGAAAACACCAGCTGCCTTGACGGGCTTGAATCCAGCAACGGGAATGCAGTGGTCGGCGTGGCCATTGCAGAAGCAGCTGCCCTTCACGATGAAGTCATAGATGGCAAAGTGCAGGGATGGCGTGGGCTGTGGGGACTGGGGGGCCGGGAGGCAGGGGCAGCCCTGTCGCTCCAGCAGCCGCACTCGCAGGTTGGTGATCTTCAGCTGCGCCTGGGCTTCCGCACTGTAAGGGTCCTCTGCGGCATAGGGCGGTGACAGGGCTCGGAATATCACCTGGGCAGAGAAACACAGCAGGTGAAGCAGAAATGAGGTTGTCAGCCAGCCCCATGGTGTGCCATGGAGTTCCTCTGGGAACATGCACCAGGTCCTCATGATGCTCTTCCCCCTCCACAAGCAGTGGGAGCAGCAAATCCACCTCCAGCCCAGTATGCACCAGGTGATCCCATATGTCCCTCTCCACAATAAGTATGGACCCCATGGGTGTGCAGTTACATTTCACCATTAACTTTAATGGGTGCCACTGCCACTGCTACGTGGTATGGCCCAGCACAGGGACCAGCTGTCCTGCAGGTGATGCTCAGGTGGGTTACGCTATGTTAACACTCCCTTCCACAGAATGGGTGTATTTTTTAACAAATAAAGCTCAGATTTCCAAATATTTGGTTCCTATCAGTCCCAGGCTACTTCCTAGTGGAAAAGTGATTAGGTATGGCAATTAGTGACAGCAAGCCGATAGTCGAGAAAACTGAGATAAGAAAGAAAGAAAATTGGGGGGCTTCCAAAGTTTAAACAAATACTTATCAGTCATTCTTTAACTTCACTCTGATTGAATAGGTAAATATTGGCTCAAGATGAAAATTGAGAGCACTAGACAAAAGTAACCAATTTTCTTGAAAAGGTTTATTTTAAAGTTGTTAGTCTAGCTGCCTACAGTGAGAAATCAGAAACAGTATATACTTCATATGACTACGATTGACATAAACCAACACATTTATGACACATGCAATTAGTTACTGGTACATTTAACTTACAGTGACACTTTCAGATTAGTTAAATAGCTCTTCACTGAACAGCCACAGAAGGCTTGATGAACTACAGTATTGATAAACAACATTCAATCAAGTCACTTGAGGGTTTGAGGGTGTGATGGAGCCTAATGACTCAATGCACCACTCCCAGCAGTGACTTAAAACCCCCTCAAACTACCCTGCTGCCCTGTTGATAACCACCAACGCCACCCAAAATGTCAGCCAGCATCTTACAGACAGCAAGGAGGTGTGTGGCAGCAAAGGGTGACCATCATTTCTTGCCTGATGAGAGGCAGAGCATGAACCTGCCGCTATTGGTGTCAGGGATCACAGCCTCCTATCTCTAAATCCACTCCTCTCAAAAGAAATGGCTGATATGCTTCAGCTGATGAAGGCTTCTATTTTATTTGACCAGGATTCACAGATCCTGAAAATAATGACCACAGTGCTGCCAGCTGGCCTGCCCGCACGCTTTGCCTACCGGCTGCTGCCTCCGTCAGCGCCACCACTGCTGGCACCGCTCCTGGCCAGGACCTGGCTTTTCTCCAGAGCTGCCAGAATCCAACCGGAGGAAGCTTTGTCTCAGCCTGGAAGGAGATTTAGCCCTTGTTTTGGAGCTAAATGGTGGCAGCATGCTTTTGCGTGCCCCGTCAGCCTGCCAAGTACAGCTGCGACCAGCATGGCGGTGACAGCGGGGCTCAGGCGTGCTGGAGCTGGGTGTCACATGCTGGCAAATACATCACAGCGGCAGCTCTGCGCTGCCATCCTGCAAACCCTCCCTCCCAAAGGTATTTGAGCATCTTCTGCCAGAAAGACTCAGATATGGGAGAAGGTTAACCAGGAGAGGTGGTCAGAGGCCAAGGCTGGTGAGCAGCATGTTCCTTGTGCAGAAGTGTTGAGTCTGATGAGGGGTATTAATAAACAGTAACACACTTCAAAAGGTTTTTTTTGTTTCCCCTCTCTTTCAGGAATACACAGAGTTTTTTCTGCTTTCCTGAAATAAAAATATAAAGCAGATATGAATAGAAACACAAACAAACCCAACTATCAAGTCCCGCACCTCTTCCTAAGGCTTCTTATTTACCCAAATTTAAATCATTCTGATCACATTTACTTGTTACTGGCTTTGTGAACACACGATGCTTTCAGATATGGAAAGAAAATTCCTTGGGATACATCCAAACTGGTGACATTGACTTCCTTTTAGTGAAGATGACAGAAAATGAGAGGTCAAGAATTTTCAGTAAAAACTAGCATTTTGAGTTTCTTGTTATTACATAAATTGCATCTCAGACAGTTCTTTGTTTGTCCTTGTTCAGATGAAAGCAGGGAAGGAAATACACAAATAAGAACAATTTATGCTAGACAGAGCCGTAGACTTTCCTCTATGTTTTCGGTTTTCCTTGTTTATCTATCCCTGTTTAACGCATGTGACTGATGCTTGTGGTTCTAGCAAAGACAATCACAGCACGGAAATCAATAACCCCTAGTGCCTCTGCACTGAGAGAGTTAAATCTTGTCTGTGTGGAATTCAGGGGGAGTTATGCTGCTGATTTCAATGGAGCCAGTATTCCATCCAAGACCCTAAAATGCTACAAACATTTCTTTTTATGGCTACATGAAAACAGTGATGCTAAACATGAGCCCTATCTGTAATTCCCAAGGGCTGCGGGCTCTCAGCCACTTTCCTGTGGCTGTCTTGTGCTGCTCCAGCTGTGCCCAGCAGCCCCGGCCCCGGCTTCGGAGCCACGCTGCACCCTGCAGCAGTGTAACCTAAGGGGGTAAGTCTGGTGTCACTGCTGCCAAGACAGTAAAACATCATCATCCCTCTGTCCCAGACACTAGAAGCTCTGCTTTAATAAAATACAAACTGGTCATTATAACATGTAGGACACCATACAAATAGCAATGCTCTGCTCTGATCCAGCAGATTAAGCTGGAATTCTACAAGCCCCCAGACACTGCATAATAAGGTCAAGGACGTGTTTCCCAGCAGGATTTCCCTGTTCTGTCATTTACATCACTAATTTTTCCCAGCCCATCTCAGGAGTTAGCACATCGCTGGGGCTACACTGCTCTCATACAGCTGTTACAGGTTTGAACCCCTGTGCTGTCCAGCACCTCAGATCCAGGTAGACACAAGGGCAGTGCCAAATTTCCTGCTTTTACCTCTTCTTGGGCTTTTCTGTGCAATTTTCCCAAGAACAGGTTAGGCACAAGGCTATGGTATCCTCTCTGTGAGTGAGCCATGGTTTGCACAGCAGACCTGACTGGGTTTTCAAACCTCTGGTTCTCCCAGGTACCACAGTCAGAGGCCACCTCAACCAAAATTATTGTTTAGTTTTAACGGTGCAGGGGAAGCGTGTTAAGAACGATTTGAAAAGAACACTTTGCCAACACGTACGTGCATCTGACGATGCATCTTTGTGGTGCCACTGCGTAGGACTTCGGTCCCACTGCCCATCTACAATTCTGTTGGGCCAGTGTTCTCCAGCTGCTCTGGGACACTCATGATGAGGTATCTAAGCCACAGCCATTCCTCTTTTCAACAGCTTCCCAAAGCCCTCCTGGTTTATCCTGCTAACACCACACAGGTGTGCCAGGTTCAGCTCCTCAGTGGCTCTGTCACCACAGTTGTGGTCTTGGCTGGTGTGGGGACATGTCATGTCAACTTTTTAGTTCCCTCTTGCCCCCTGGAGAAGTTATTGCTTGTTTTTTGCCAGGACATAGCTCCGCCATGCACAGGGGAACACAACCCTTGGTGGTGGAGCGATGGCATGCAGCAAGCCTCAACAGGAAGCACCCCATGGTGACCTGACTTTCCCACTCAAATCTGCCTCTGTCTATGAGGCTTGCCAACAAAATGTCAAAACCCATCACTACAACATTAGGTAGGCAATGTGACTTACAAAGTAGTCAGTACTATATAGGACAGCAAGGACTGTGAAGCCTGGATCTGTATATCAGCAGTTCTGAAATGTATGCACTAATTAAAAAAAAAATTATATTTTGTAAAACAAATCAGAAGTAATACACTGAAACTCCACAGCACTTCTATACTTTACATGCCATATTATATCCTATCTGAAAGTCATTTTCATTCCCAGTGTTGCTAGCTCATTATAAATTTTATGATATTTGGGATTCTTCTTAAACACAGTACCAGGAATTGAATTTTTATCTCAGCTTCCATTTAAAATTATCTGGCAATATCTCACATCTGAGCACAAATGTAACAAACCAGGAGGCAAACAAAAAGAACCACTGTCTTTAAAACAAATTTTCTACTATTTGGGGTAATGTTCCTCCCACATCACACAGAATGATGCTGTTGGATGGCACGTCCTATAAATGCAATGTCTGCATGAAGTAACATCAATAGAGGAGTGATTTACAAATTGCACAGGGTTTTTTTGGTGTAGTGGTGGTCTCTCTACACAGCCAAATAGGAACTGTAGTCTGCAATCACTGACTGAGGAATGCCACTGCTATGCCTCAAGAGGGTATGGTTCACCTGACCCTCTTGGTGTGATGGCTGGTGGCAGCAGGAGGGAGCCCACTCCACTCCTAGGGGAAGCCCACTTCACTCCCAGGGGAGCAGAAGTGGATATGCTGTCCTACAGTGCCTTGCAAATGCCATGGAGTAAAAATATTCTGCTCTTCAGCCAGACCACTGCAGCTGTCTGGAGTTTGGGCACATCATTACAGAGACACCCTCTATTAAATTTCCACAGCGTTTCAATTTCCTTATGGGCTGTTGTGAGCAACTCTTGCTCTGTTGATTACTTCACAAGTTTGAGTGGCAGAAGAAGCCCGAGCTTCTTGCCATTCTGCAGATGCAACAATGTAGCCCTGTATATAAATAAAACAGCAGCCATGAACAGATTGCACTCAAGTAACCGCGTGCACCACAGTGACCTTGATATATAAATACATAAAGTCCCTTTGCAAGAAGTACCCTACTATGTTTACTTGCGAGGCAATGAAAGAACATCTTTATATATATCTCCACAGTGGGACGGAAAATGCTAATGAATGATTCTGACAGCAACAAAATAGGCTCCGAAGCCAAAGCTGCCTGAGGAAGTCAACAAAACCAATGAAAGATTTGCCAGGAGCAAAGGTTTTTTGATGAGTCATGGGCCCATCTCAGACTGCTGCAGCCTCCGCCGGATGCAGCTGTAAGGGCCCAGATCTTTGCCAGGACTCAAGTGTCCACAGTGACAAAATGGGGCCCTTTGGGAC